ATAATGCATAAGTCCCTTCAGTCTCCAGCTCTGGTGATTTCAACCTTTTGGGCTCCTGTAGATAGAAAGCTGGGCAATGAATCTGATAAAGTATAGCTGTTTTCCATTTTGCAAACTTGAAGGGTGGTCCTATGTACTCTCATGTACAAAACACGAGATAATATTTCAAATTTGAATGGTTACACAAAAGKACTTGTTTTGCATTAGATGTATGARAACGGCAACAATAACTGTGGTTGTCACTGTTTAGGAGGCTGCATCTTGGCAATTAGTATTTAAAAGCAGAAAGTGAACAAAAATGTTTGCAAAGATAATTTCCATGTTTTTCTTTGGAAAACTGGGGGTAAGGGATTCACTGTTTTCTATTGCAAATCTGCTGAAATCAACTTTTAGCTGGCTCGTCATATTTCATACATGTGTTTCTAAAGCACATTTAGCAACCCCAGGTATAGTGGCAAATGTGAACAGCACTCCCAAATGCATGTTTTTATGGTTGGTTTTGTTCCTTTGCTTGTTTAGCTGGCAAACTGCTGTATCTGGAATTCAATGTGTGAATTTCCTTGGAGCAAAGCTATTCCTTTGCTTCCCTTTTCACTGTGGGTTTTATGAGGTCATGCCCTGCACTCCTGTCATGCTTCCTGCCCATCTTGGCCCTTGTCACTTTTGGTACTTGACATAGTTTTTGTCTGCATGCCTTGCCATGACAACTTAGTTCAGGAGAAGCTGACTGACAGCTTCAGTTGACTGTGTAGAACTGATACCCATGAAAAATGAACATTTATAGGACTTTTTTACTCAAATCCATCCCTTGTTTAATGTCATGGTTTCTGCTGGAAGTGAAGGTATCATTTCTCCCATCATTTGAAACTCAACTCACTCTTTGCTCATCCCAAGCCAYCATCAGGGGGACCTGCCACTGGAGGCCCCCATTTTCCTGAGTCAGCCTCAAAACCCCAAATTGCTTACATGCCAGTTGTGCCTTGGTCTGTGCAGTTATGATAGATAATGAAGATAATGAGCCTACTTATGCATGCTCACCTCATTCCCCCCACTGAACACACTCCTGCAATCTCACATCACTGATACACAAACTGGGAACAGATAAGATGTTTAGGAATTGTAGCATTTAAATTTCATCAGTGCTTTATTTTCATATTTCCAATAAAATAATTACCTCTCTTTTTTTTCTCACAATATTGCTTTATATAACATGATTSAAGCTTCCTGCACATCTTAGAAAAACTCTTGTGTGTTCCAASTGAAGGTTAAGAATTGAGCATCAGTCCAAAAGAGGGGTTCAAAGCATAGGAAACCACCACAATATTTAGATTAATCTACTTTTCTGTTTGTCTAGTAAGAGAACAGTGTCAATATTAATGAAAACAATTGTGACTAATGCAGCCAACAAGACTATCAGAGAATCATCTTCCATGTTATAATAGGAAACCATCACTAGGAACAAACACCTTAATTACAGCTATTATCTCTTGAAATGTCTGGATAACTCTTAACATTAATCTGATTTGAAATAGAAAATTTCCATTATGTAGTGAGATGTTAAATAGAACTTTGCTGCGTAATTACATGGGGTAAAGTAACTATGAAAGCCATTTTTGTATGAAGGCTACACTGACTGCTAACAAAAAGCTCTCATTTTCTAGCACCTCCATTTTCAGTATTTCCATGGAGAATTGAGTCTCATTTTAAGCAATATTTTTACACAGGGAAACACACRGGAGTAGGGAATGTCAGTTATGACCACTATGAGACAAAATAAGGGAACCATTTTTCTAATGCCAAGAGACATCTACAGGGAGCTCCATCTGGGTCCCAGAGGTAAAACCATTTCTCTCCCCTCTCTTGCTTAGCTGGAWATCACTGATTTTCACAAATTCCATGGTAGTGTCCTGCTTGCTGCCTGCCATATGTTTAGCTGTTACACTGTCTTCAGGCACTTCATTTTATTCCTTAAGAGYTGCTGAAGTCCATAAAAAAATTACCCTGCAGGTGTGCTGAACACTTTGCATAGATGATTGCAGAACCAGAGTGGATATCTCTGCACAGAAAAAATATKTGGTGCAATGACACACACAGTGTGGACAAATCTCTGAGATCACCTAGCATCTCTTTAGATGAGTTTTCAGGAAAAAAATGAATTGTAGTGGATTTTAGGGAGGCACCACAGCCTATGAGAGACAATCCAGGCAAAGTGGCTGGAGAATGGGCATCTGCTCCAGGATCAGAGAGACCTTGTTTGGGGTCCCTGCTCTCCCCAGCATCGTGGCTGTGGATCTGAAATTATTTCAACCTGCTCTGTCTTACCAGGGGAAGGTTTCTGTTGGGAATCATGAGAGCACATAATTGCACATTTTAGCTGACTTCTGTTGGTTTGGAAGTGTACTTCTGAGGGATATATTCACAATAGTAGCCAT